TTCATTCAGTCAAGGCGATTTTCAAGCAAATAATGGAGCCGTTTATATGGGTTTTTTATCTAAAATTTACTATGGGTTATTACGCACAAATTATTGTGGGAATACCAACTCATCTCCCGGCGTGCCTTTTCATTCTATTTAGATTGAAGTCATTAGAGTGTAACGATAAAAAGATCTTTATTAAACGTGCTGTTAATTATCTTTGTTTTCTCTTTACTTGAAGCTCACATATATTCAAGGGAGGGACAGCAACTACATACCAGGAGGGTTTTTTCTTGAATTTCTTCTTAAATGCAATAAACCAGATTGCCAACTAAACTTGGAAAATAGTCTACACCAATGTTTCCTGCCAAGCCGTAGTTTACGAACATACAACTTCACCTCTGTAACTTTATCTCAAGCTACACCTTTTTCCAAACCACGTTTGAACTTATATGAAACAATAGAAGACAGGTGAGAGCAACAAACCAGCCACCCAGTTTGACTGTAACCCCAAACCTTTGTATCCCGCTCATTTTAGTACATTCTGTAAAATGTTGACCCTGCATATCACATCCTTTGTGAAAAATAGTAAAAGCCCATGCTACTGCAAGCCTGGTATTTAGGGAACGCAACAGTGTGTTGCGCTCAGAATTTGGGCGGCAAAGTCATCCAGCGCTTAATATGACACGACAGGGACACAGAGGAAAATTGAAGTTTAAGTTAAGAACTTAAATCATGCGCTTATCTTGCTTTGGTGGTATGTTGTTCTGTGCCAGGCGCGGGGAGTGCAAAGAATAAAGATCGGGGGATGTGATGCCATAAATCAGATTTGTATACCTATAAATAACTGGCTCAATTACAAATGTTGAAGACTTTTTCCTTTGTTCTCCGTACACTTGGCCAACTTTGTTTAATGTTGTCTAGTCTCTAGTGCAATAATTCAAATGATATCCCGGACAGCCAATCTTACAAATAGTTTGACGTTCTTCAACGTCCAAAAGCTACATGTTCTAAAAATCGTCACACAGTTTACCAATTGACTGCTTTGCAAGTTAACTTTAATCTTTCATGTAGACTCAAATCACGGTTGTGCTGATGGAAAAGATAAAATAGCAAACAGGAAGAACAGCTGAAAGGGTGAAGTAATCTAGTAAATACGCCCTTTGTAGAAAGTTTTGCTAATTTAAATTAAGGCATAACTCCCAGAGGAGAATTGCTAATAATGCATAGGCATGGTTGGCATGGAAACTATTGTTTGCTATGATTTGGTGGTTTATCGCATTCGTCAGATGACCCAAAAGCACATTACAGGCAGGAGTCTTTTTTATGAATTGCTTGATCAGAAGACGGTCAACCAAAACAGAGAACTGTGTGTCCCGCGTGCCAACAAAAGCACATAGTTTTCTGTATAGGAAACTTGCTTTAGTTTGAAAGGTAAGCTGTTATGCCTTTCAATACTTCATTTCAACCTTGAGGAACCTGAAGGGGGTGATCAGTGCGCTGATCGTCCGTTAATTGCCCGCTAGGAGAAAAGTTGGATCCATTCGGTTGGATCAAAACTTGCCATATTTTTTGCTATGCATGTCAAGGTCCAAAGATTTGTTTTGAGAGAGCCGACACTTTGGGGCAGAATCGACTCCCCCAAAATGGGAGGTAATATACGCGTTAGAAATAGGAGCTGCGTGCTGAATGTTCACGACATGTCAAAAGGGAAGCAAATGCCATTTCATATTTATTATTTAATGAAGAAAACCACCAACAATCCTATCTCAGTATAGAAGCCAGCTAGGGTCGCGTTGGTTTCTCTTTAGCAGAGTTCATAAATTTCCTCATCGGAGCATCCCTCACCGCAGCATTCCTCGTTAAGGTTTCGCTTCCCGATACCACGTCCGAACAAGAATGTGTTGGCGTCCTTTGAATCCAGAAACTCTGCAGCATAAGTGACAGGGGAAAAAGTGGAATGTTGGTTTTGTTCAGGTTAACTACATATAACTCTATAAATCTTGTATTCCATTATTAGCCCAACTTAAAAAAACACCGATTCTTCTACAAACAGCAAAGTGAGGAGAAATGAGAGGCCCTTTAATTAACCGGAACGTTCTCTGCACTCTTTTCCTGCATGACGTGTACAGTCTGTTGATGGACACAAGGTGGGACTCCCACCTCCAAAAAAATTGGAACAAAAGGCGGGATTATAGAATGAAACACAAAAGAGGGAAATGGGATGAAAATCACCAATTTGCTGTATTTCAGTTTTCAGTTTCTGCGAGATTTGAAGAGAATGCGTTTTTGTAACGGAATTGCGACAAGCAGTGCTTCACGAGTTCTTAGATTGTACAGTCGCTTCCTTTTTGGAAAAGCCTTGGCGAGGAAGTGGAGAGGCGGTCTCAATGCTCAACTGGATCAGTCTGAAATTAGCTGGTTTTTGGTTGGACAGAAGGTTTCTGAGACACAGTTACGTAACCAGGCTTGCCTCAGAGGGGGCAAGAGGGGAAGCAATCGTTCGGGGGGGGACCCCTACTCTCTTGGCTACGCCACAGGTGAGAGATCGAGACAACGTTTCAATCCGATTTTTGGTTTAACTACCTTGGTTGGAGACTGCACGGAACGCTTGGCAAATCTCGCGGTATTTTTCTTGAAGACTCGCTCCACAGTAGTGCGGATGGCCGCGAACCCTGCACAAAAAGGTCCAAGACAGCCTTTATACCACCTTCTATAAATTAAAGGTTGTGCTTTAACACCAATGAAGTACACTACGGTTGACAAAACATCAACCAGCATCAATTGGATCAACAACATCTGAATGCCTTATACGCTAAATAACGCTCCAGTCAAGAGGTGTTGTCGGAATTTCGAAGGAATTTAAATAAAAAAAGTGAAATAATACTCTCAAACGTGGGTGGGTTGTGCAGCCAAGGGAACTGTAGGGTCAGATAAAAATTCCAGTTTAACCTATTAAAATGAATCATAATTGAAACCACTGAAAAAAATTAATCAGTTTGCCCGAGAATGAAAGGTAGAAGAAACTATCCACTGCTTTGGGTGTAACTCACAAGGTATTTCCTGTAATCAGAGAAACGAAAGAGTTCCAGGAAAATTTCGGATAACAGAATACTTCAGTTGAAACCATTTTAAGTTGATTATAACACAAAAATTCCTAATTATGAGAAACGAATGTAAACTTCTTGACAACCCCTGAAAAATTGATGTAAAGCACCGGGGCACGCTCTTTAGTACACCTCGCAATTGAAAAAATAATTACCCCAAATATCTAAGTTTATTATATTCCAAACTGTCATGTTAAATTCGATTCCATAATTATATGGAAGTGTTGGTTTTGTAGTTACTGACAAAAATATTGAGGAGTGAAGGCATTTCTAATGGTTTGATATTTCTCTTGCCGATCAGCAATGACAATACGGCCATATTTCGTCAAGTTGAAGTCTAGAACAAATATCAAATTGATATGATGAGTATTTAGGTCAGAAACAAGTCATGGACATTGGACCATGAACATTGTAACAAGGTGAATTGTAGTTGGGATACGGAAAAGCACAAGAAATTGCCTTAACGTAAAATGAATATTTGGGGGATTTTTGCCCAATTGCACAAAATTGGTATTTACAATTTTGATGCATTCGATACTTTTAGGAGGACAATAAAGCTTATAATTACCATGTCATCTACAGATTCCAGAGATCTTAAACATAATTAATTAAGTCCGAATAATTTTTTTCTTATTAAACAGACCAATGACAGTATGAATATCTTTTTGAAGATTTATTTTAGGCAAACTACAGATAACTTTGCTTACGCTCTCCCTCCCTCTTTGACAGTCGCGTCTGGGTGGCCACTGATTTGTTGCACTATAAAGAAAACCACCGGAATTTAAGAATTAAAGAAAACGAAGTGACAGAGGTACATATCATGAATTAATTTGTTTGATTACAAACGTACAAAACCTAAATAAGATTTTACAAATTAGAAAATTTCCCTTATTTGCTGGGTGTGGAGTGTTCAGGTCTTAATTGGTAATTCAAACTCTGCTTTTGGTTCCTGAAAGTGACGTGAGGCGACCAGCATGGCGCACATGGTGAAAAGGCTGCTAAAATAGCCAGAACGACCTGGAATGGCAAGGAGCCTGTGATCCCCGCGACAAGTTTACGTTCCGAAATTCGACAACACAAAAACATTCAAGAAAAAAACTTCAAAATAATCAGGAGTTCGCCCACAGAATTAGATTCTTTACACATCAATAAAAAAGATCATGCATTAACCCCTACCGAGTTGTGCCCATTGAACGGGATTGTCCATCATGCGACCAACTCCCCGCAGCATTTGAGACTCAGATTGTGTATGCATTGTCTGTATGTTGAACAAACACGTTGGCAGCGTAATCGCTTTTTCACAGAGAGTACCCGAGAGGGTCGGAAAGGCCCACAGCCTGTGATGAAGCGCTTGAGCTATGGCGTGAGTGCAGGCTGACAAAGTCGATCGTTCGTTCAGGGACCAATTAGGCAGCTTGATGAACAAGGCCAACATTCAGAAGACTAACACAGAACCGTAAGTTACTGATGCGTATTAACCACGAGAGAACACCAATAG